TTCTTTACACGATGTAAAAGATAACAAATTAAGTTTGCCCTTTATATATCATATACGAAATGTATTCTAAGGAGATTACATCAAATGTATTCGCTCTTAGGGCACATTTCTAACAGATAATCCATGCGGATTTTTGAGAGGACGTATGAAAAATAGAACCTTTGGTGGTGTTGATAGAAGCACAAGTCTGCATGCTTCTGTGAGTTTGCAATAAGGGAAGTAAAAAGTGATATGAGAATGTGAGGGATTTTGATTGGAGGAATTTGATTTGAGGAATTTGATGTATGAATTTGATATAGGAATTGGATTTGAGAGGTATGTTTATAAGATTTGAGGAATTTGAATGCAATGCAAAATTTACCTTTGTCAATTTGCTTGAACCTCCATAGGATAGTTGATAGTTAAGAACACCTAGAGAAGCTATTCTTAATCTAAACTTGAGCTTGATAAAAACAATAAAAATCCTATTACAAAATTGTCAAGGGAAGCCAAAAGAAATACTCAAAATTCATACATTAAGGATTTGGATTTGGGAGAAATATGAGGAATTTGATTTAAGTTTTGTTTTTTTGTTTTTTTGTTTTGTTTTGAATATGAGAAATTGCAAGAAGAACTAAAGCACAGGTTGCATGAGAACTAGGCTCCTCCTAGTACCACAACCAATTGGCTTGCTGCTGAGAATGTCCTGTTGTGGCTACAGAGGAAGATGCGGGAGCCGGTGCAGTCGGAACAGCAGGACTTACATGATCTGCGGCAGAAGATGTGTTGAGTGATTTGCTCCTATTCTTGCGGGGAGCTTTGGAGTGGTCTAAACCCAATCAGTTCGTAACAGCCAGCATAGGTATGTTTGCTTCCACCACAATGAGTGTATTTGTGTTCCGGACGAGAGCTTGTAACTTGAGTCTAAGAAGTGCCACCGGTAGAGGGCGGAGGGCCCTGTGAACGTTGAGTGGCCAAGACCGCAGTGTCCGGAGTACTGGCCATGATTAGTCGTTGTTGAGCTTCGCGACGTACATATGCAAAGGTTTGGTCAAGGTCTAATTTGGGATCTTTGCGCAGGATTTCCCCCCGGACTTGATCAAACTGAGGGTCGAGCCCTGCAAGAAAAAGGTGAACACGAAGACGATGGCGATCAATCGCGTCGGCGTCGCAGTGCATGCAATTCGGAGTGCGGTGATCAATCTCCTGAAAGATGGTATGCAACTGGTTGTAGTATTTGTGGACAGGTGCACCATTCTGTTTAATGGTGAATGCCCGTTTGTTGAGATCAAAAAGGAAAGTTTCATCCCCACCATCAAAGTAGGTTTTCTTCACGGCATCCCAGATTTCTTTGGCGGTACTGAAACGGATGAAACGACCCATCAAGTCGGGAGACATGGAGTCGATGAGCCACCCCTTGACCCGAAAGTTCTCCGTACACCATTTGGTGTAGGTGGAGGAGAGCTTAGAGGGTTGCGAAGTGTCGCCGATGAGGTACCCCAATTTTTCGCGGCCAGCACTACGTAACTCCATGACTTGAGACCATAAGGCATAATTGGTTTATGTCAAGATGATGCCGGTAGGAAACGGAGCGTTGTCACTATGAATAGTAACAATTTGGGTGGATGATAGAGTAAAGTCGATGGTTTGGGAAACGATATCCATGGCAGCGGAAGGATTGAAGAATAAGAGAAAAAAGATGTGTTTAGGTTTCGGGATAAGAGTATATGAGGATTCGGGTTTAGGCCTGAATCTGAAACTGGAAATACGAGGAATACGATATGAGGGATGTGATTTTGGGTAAGAGGAAGACGATATGAGGAATTCGATTTAGGATACAAGGATACGATACGAGGATATGAGGAATTTAAAGAACACAGAAATTTACATGAGTGCTTTACAAGGAATTAGATCCAGTAAAGGATTAGGAAAGTATCTCCTAATTATACAATGATTTGACAACTATATAAAAAAAAGGAAAGTAAATCCCTTAATTAATCAAGGAAATAAATCTCCTTGATTAATTAGGAGACTCACTTCAACATGAGTCTCACGTGAGAATTTAAATGAGCTAGCAATACACATGTATACCAACATATGACTGATCATATGAATTGACTCTACAAAAAGACTGATGTATTCTAATGTATGAAATCCACAAATTACCTTTGAGTCATTATCTCAGGAGCTGCAATTTGTCTAAGTCATAGAGGCCTTCTTCAACCTATCTAACCTAGACTAAGCAAGTTTGAGCTTGAGGATTTTACAATTACAAATACAGTGTTGTTCAAGGAAGCCAAATGCAGTGCAAATAGAATTGCAAAATCATTCTTGAAGAAATTAATCCATGAATCTGTCCTAGAAATTGATGATGAATGAAGATGTGTTCTGGATGCATTTTTTAAAAACACAAAGCAAATTTCAAAAACATGATGAAAATCTCATTTTTAAAGGATATGCAGACCTCACTCGAAGGAGAGCAAAAGCAAAGAAGAAAACGATGCTCTCAAAAATTCTCTAAGGGCCTGTTTGGGAGTGCATCTGGAA